GGGGAGGGAGGGGTAAAATGAGCTGATGACAGGGGCTTAGGTGGAGAGCAAATATTTTGAGAATGATGAGGGCAATAAATGTACAAATGTGCTTTACACAATTGATGTATATATGGATTGTGATAAGAGTTGTATGAGCCCCTAATGATTAAGAAAAAAACAAAACAAAAAAACACGCTTTCTCTGAGGTTGGTTGCCGCTTTCCTGTGTAAGGAATAAGCATGTTTTAGTCTCTCATGTCCACAAAAAATTGCGAACAAATCTGTATTTGACTTATATCTCTAGTGCTTTTGTTATATTTTGTCGTCTGATTTGAAATGTCTCTTTTAAGATTTGCTGTTCTAATATTCTTTGGTTTTCTCCTAGGGCGGTGTGCAAGAAGTTTGGGTTGCATGTAGGTCGAATGATGCTAGCCTTCTTGGTTCTCAGCACCGGAATGTTTTGCTCATCATCAGGTAATTAAAAGAATCAGTAAAGGAATACTAAACTACAGGATCTTTCACAGTTGCATGAAAAAGAAGCACTTGTACAGGTATAGGTTATATTTGTATAACATCAATAATTTGCAAATCTGTACAAAAGGGCTTAAAAAATGCCACAGAAAAATGCCATTATCTTTTAATTCTGTTTTCCCACAAACTCTAGGAAGCTCCCTGATATTGTATTATTTTTTTAAGCCCCTTGTGTTATTTTGATTGACCTTTATAACAATCCCGTGGTGTAAGTAAGAAAGAGATCTCATTTTTATGGGTGAGGAGCTGAAGCACAGGAAGACATGCAATTCACAAGTGGGAAAACTGATCCTCTCCCCAGAGTATTTTCTTTCTTTTTAAACAGTTCCACTGGCCTTTCATCTACATGTCATACAATTCATTAATTCAGTCACATCAAAAAGAGTTGTATGGTCATCACCACAATCAATTGATACTTTCTATTACATTTTTAGTATTATCTTTAGTCATCACAAACTGGAGGAAAAAAGAACAACAACAATATCACGGCCTTTCTTTGCTGTTAAGAGAAAGAACATAGCTTTCTTTTGTTCAGGGAAGGCCCTTGGGCCTACAGTATGCCTTGGTGGTTCTCTTTCTAACCATTATTTGAGATGTTTTCTGTAGAGGTATGCATTTTCTGTTCCTTTCTCTTTTCCTTTTTCTTCTACAGTAAGCATCTATAACAGGGATTCTCAACCTATGGGTCGACCCCTTTGGGGGTCAAACAACCCTTTCACAGGGGTCGCCTGATTCATAACAGTAGCAAAATTACAGTTATGAAGTAGCAACAAAAATAATGTTATGGTTGGAGGTCACCACACATGCGGAACTGTATGAAAGGGTTGTGGCATTAGGAAGGCTGAGAGCCACTGCTCTAGAATAAGAACCAGATTCTAGTATGATAACATTCAAACTGTGCTGCCATCGAACATTCTTAAGTTTTGTGAGCTGAGCTGAGGTAGCCTACTTCCAAAATACAGATAGTCTGTTCCCAACTTGCCAGAAAAATTAAGATACTAGATATAATTGACTAAACTTTAATTTCGTCTCTGTATGTGGAATCGAATACACTGTTCATTTTTTGCTCACTGAATATCTGAGAGTACTTGTGGCAGTATCTCCAGGTTCGTGCTATTCTGCAGAGACGTCAGGCCTCTGTCTCCTGAGTGCCTGGAGAGCCATTGTCTCAGAGCTGGTTGAGACCGTCTTCCTCCATGTCGGCAGCTGAATTGATGTTATTTGATATTTACCGGAAAAGGGTGTACTTCAAAGTTTGGGTGGGGGTGTGTGTGTCTTTTTTTCCCCAGTTACTTCTCAATGTTCATAACTTGAAGACGTTCTTTGGTAGAGAGCCTCTGAAGACTTCCTGCTGTTTACTTTTTGTGGTTCTTGTTGCTGGTGCCTTGGAGCTGGTGTTTCTTTGATGGTGCCAGTTGACGCAGGTCCTGTGCCGCAAGAGAGGCAGGTCTTTTTGAGAGCAGTCTTCTGATCACATTTTTATGTAGAGTAATGAGAAATTTAATTGGTCTCTTCTAGACACTTTGGTCAAATGTTACTATCCCCCGAGACCCTAAACATACTTAGTCCGCTACTGTAGGTAAAGGAGTTTTCCCACACACTTTTGGAAGTCCCTTTGTTCAACCAGAAGTCCATGCCAAATGGACATGATTAGAGGGCTAGCTGCAGATCAGACTATGTCAGTGGATGCAGCATGCAAAGCAGTGCTGCCATCCAAGGCTTCCAAGAGTTCCTGTGTGGTACAGGGGCGGATAACCTGGAAGTATTCCTAGGGAACTTAGAATTGTTTATGTTGTAGATTTGGGATATAGGCCAGGAGAGGAAGTGCATGATTGGTATTACCTACTTAGGGTACTGAATTGGTACCTGAAAACTGAAAATGAGAGTCATTGAACTTCATTTTATTTTGTAAAGGCGTATCATTTTACTGTTTGCCCATTCCTACTATAGCACTGCTCCAAATATATGCTTGGCTATTCACTCCTTGCAATATAGATACATTTATGATAATTAATATCTAGTAATTCAAACTCTTGTTCCCCCCACCCCCCTTCTTGCAGCATTTCTTCCCAGCAGTTTCTGTATGTACACCACGTTGGTAGCTATGACGGGATGGTATATGGACAAGACTTCCATTGCTGTGCTTGGAGTAGCAGCGGGGGCTATCTTAGGCTGGCCATTCAGTGCAGCTCTTGGGTAAGAACTGACACACACTCCTCTCCCATATAGTGAGCATGAAATAAATCTTGTTACTGCATTATTGTGCTAGGTGTTGTTGATGTTGTGATAAATAAGACAGTCATAGTAGTAGGAAAGACAGACATTGAACAAGTCATTACAAGTATGATGGCTATCAACGGAGAAATACGAGGTATTGAAAACAAAAAGAAATATGAGGTGTTGTGGGATTTTAGTTACTTGCGAGATAAAATGTGAAAATAAAAAGTGTTAATACAACATTTATATAACCGAACGTGGAAGTTCAAATCATAGAAAAGATGCCCCATAGTAACTCATGATATTGACTGTAAGAATTCAGAGATCAGAGAAATTGGTTCTGAAAAGATCTTACAGAACACTTGAAATTTGAGCCAGCAATTGCCATTTGGGTCGATTCTGGATAAATTATTGTAGGGAGAGCATTACTTGTGGCTGTGGGGAAGGCTTTGAGTAGTGTCTTAGTCTTTGAAACCATGGGTGGAAGGTCATTGTTCATACAGCAAGAGTGGAAGTACCATGGTGAAAGGGTCGGGGGTAAAAGTCTGGAGAAGCACAGAGACCTGGAAGTAAGAGATGCTGAGGGAGTCAGAGAGGCAGGAGCAGCTCCTTTGTGTCAAGTGCAACAAAAAGATATGTGAGATGTTAGGTCTGGGCAAAAAGAAGTTCCTGCTGATCTGAGATCAGTCTCGTTAGGGTGATAATAGGCCTTCAAGAAGAAATAGTGAAATGAAGGCAGCACGTATATGCCACTTGCTTGAGGAATTTATTTATTTTTAGGAATTTACTGTAAATATAAGGAAGATAATCAAATGCTATTAGAAGGGAGTATATCAGAATTGAAGTCAAAGTTTGTAATATTATCTTACTAAACCCCTAGCATATTATATAAGGGAGAGATCCATACTTATCTGGCAGGGCAGTGTTGTTGGAAGCCATGGAGTTGGTTTCAATTCATTGCAGCCCCACGTACAATAGAGCAAAACACTGCCCCGTCTTTTGCCGTCCTTATGGTCAGTGCTGTGTTTGAGCCCGATGTGTCAGTCCACCTCTTTAAAGGTCTCTCTTTTTTCACTGCTCTCTACCTTACCAAGCGTGGTGTCCTTCTCCGAGCACTAGTCCTTCCTGATAACAGGTCCAGAATATCACCAGCCTAACATCTAAGGAGGTTTTATTTCTTCCAAGACACATTTGTTTGTGCTCGCAATCCAAAGGTATAGGGCAATAGGGCACATATATTCAAAATATGTCATTAATATACATACAACATATCAATTGGAGTTTATTCCAGTAGGTCAGCATGTATGTTTATTGCACATCCATGGGACGCATAGCACTCAACGATTTTGTAAAGAGGTCAGTCCATACCAGGGTTCTTCTTTCACTGTGACTGTCGTAGACATTTAATTTTCAGTTTAGCTTGATGTTGTGTGAGGATCTGATCTGTTTGTCTGTATTCTCTGTAAGGATTTTATTTAACTCCCCACCTTCTGTTTTTTAAATAGATTACCTATTGCCTTTGATTTGCTGGTCATGAAACAAAGGTGGAAGAGTTTCTTTTATTGGTCACTGGTGGCCTTACTTCTCTTTCTGGTGAGTTAGCTTTGTCTTGTTCTAAAATTGTGATGAAAGCTTCTGATGTAGGAAAGACAAAGAATGAGTTAATTCTGTTTTTCTTTTTAATTCTAAGATATACTTCACTAGCACTTTGAGAGTGTTTCCAGAACAAAACCCTAAAATTGCTCTGTCTTTTCTGCTCTGTTCTAGGTACCTGTGGTGGTCATTGACAGCTACTATTATGGGAAGTTGGTAATTGCTCCATTCAACATTGTTTTGTATAATGTCTTCACTCCTCACGGACCTGATCTTTATGGTAAGGCTCTAGGGAACTTGGGGAAGAGTTCATTTGCCTAAGCTTCAATTTTTTATTTCAGTTGTCTCCTTTCATAAGATACAGTATTTCTTTGCAAGTGATCTTACTCTCTTTTTGAAAAACAGGATGGCATTTGTATCTAGCTTAGTGGTGACAGGGTGCAGCTACTCCAGTCATTGTCCTGCACTGATACTGGCATTCGGGTACTGACTTTCTTCTTGTCCTGTGTCTGTTACTCCCAGGTTCATAGCTCTCAGGAGGCCATGTAAGGTACGCCAGGACTTTCCAAAATGCTTGTAATACTTTCTGCTTTGTTAACTTGTTGTTGTAAATTGGGTGAAGGCTAAGAGAGAAAAGCAGTTTTACATTCAACAAACCATTCACGTTTTGTTTCGTGTCACTGATTAAATCCCCACAATGTAACATCACTCATCCCACTTCTATCCTGTGTTCCTTCCCTTTCCACTCTGCCTTCTGCCTTCTGAACTTTGCCCTGGACAAATGTGACCCTTTTGATCTCGTGTGCTTGATTGTTCTAAGCAATACACATCTCATTAGTGTTATTTTTTTT